CATCAGGCCGGCAATGACGTATGCCTCCACAGTGTGGGGGTATGCGGCAGAAACCTACCTGTTACATCTTCAGGCCACAGAAAATAAACTTCTGGGGATGGCCATAGATGCTCCCTGGTTTGAACGTAATAGTCAAATTTACAGGGACCTGGAGTGGGAGCCACTGAGACTTTCTGCAGCGGAGAGCTGCCCGGACCTTTGAAAAGGCCGAAAACCACCCCTTTGTTGAGCTACGAAATGCCGTAGATTACTCACCAGAGGATTATGGGCCGAGGCACCAGATGGCCCAACAGGGCAATAGGTAAAGCAGTTGACTGCAAAGCGCTGTAAGTGTGAAACCCAGTTAAAATAGTGTGATAGAAGTAGTGTTGTGTAGTGCTTGTGTTAAATACGCTCCATAAGTGGTAACGTCACAAATTAGACATATTCAGAGACTGTATCTAAGCAAAGCAAATTTGCATTTGAGTTAAATACAAAGTTTCCAAAGTGTGCTGATTATCTTAGCAGTGAAGAAAAAGAAGCATTCTAAGGTATGTATTTGCATTTAGGAGTGTTTTAGTAACGATTCGACATTGAAATCATAGCGTAATTATTAGCGGTTTTCTTTATTTTCGACGAAAATGTCTTGGTAACCTCAAACTTGATGTAAACGGATAGCAGACTTCGTAGTTTATTAGTAACTGTGTTAAAACCTGTTATTTGTATTAGAATAATGGTTATGTGTTGGGCTCCTGAATATAAAAATTATGATGATCGTGAAAATGTTTGTTTTTCCGGTTTCCAAAACACCCACCCACACGAAATCGATGGATAAAGTTGGTACGGGTAGTAAATCTTATATTGTTATTTGTAAACCGAATGTTATGCTTGAAAATGATTTATAGGAGAACTCTATAGAGCCCGGTCCTGGTGCCCTTGTATGCAGTAGTCATTTTCTTGATGGGAATAATTAAAATGGCCCTATACAGCTCTTGGCCTTATTACAGTGCCTTGTCGCAAAATAGTTAAAGTATCGGGTCCCGAAAAATGAGCAGAAGGAAAATATCTGCCGTAGTAGAAACACCAAGCGACCATTTGAGCACAAAGTAACTACATATTTCTGTAACATATATAATCGACAAGAATATATGTATATAATTTTCAGACCTGAAACTGAGCCACAACCTTCGACTTCGACTGAAGGTATTCCTGAAACCTTTATGTCTACAGCACGGATTTATGCTGAAAATTATTTTCGCCAACAACTACAGGAAGCTTTAATGGGACTTTACAATTTATCTGAACGTTTATCAATTGAAAGTATAAAACAAAATGACATCTTATTATTTATGTATTTTTCTACTTATGCTATATTTGAATGTTTGTTTGCATTACTCAAAGATATAAGTAGTTTGTTATTATGACTGAAAAGTTGAAAAACTTAGTAAGCAAGATCAGTTACTCATAACTCTCATGAAACTGTAGCTGTTAGGCTGAATGTTTCGCAGTCTAAAATATACAGAATTACAGTAATACGTAGTAATTTTTCTTTTTCATATAGGTTAGAGGTGTGTTAAACGGTTATTTCTATGTAACAGGTTACAACGTTTCAGTTTCTCCTCGGTAATAGGTTTCACAATGTGGTTTCAAAAGAAACATGTTACTTTTTAAATTTTTCATTAAAAATGCAGAATGATGATAGTAGAAATGGTCATGATCAAAGTCGAGAGCGCTCGATGATGCAGCATCGGTTCTGTGACGGACGCGAAGCACTTTTTCAGGTTTATGAGACTGTTCCAAAAAAAACCTTTCAGTCGGCAAACGGCTGTAGCTGCAGCGAAGTGCGCACAACTGTTTCGGTTTTATGAGACGGTTCCAAAAAGAACCAGTTAAACCGGCCAGCTGTAACTACGGTTTCAGGTTACACGTTTGGAACACTGTTATTTTAGCGGTTACGTTAAATACCTACCATCCCTAATACAGGCTCTCACAACTTCAAGTCAAGCAGGACATTTTTCGGTAGGGAATACTACCGCAATAACATTGCCTCTCTCTTAAGAGTTTTTACACCTCTTTAACTATGCACAGTCTTTTTTAAAGCATTCCGCTACAGCAGAAAATCGTACGACGTGACCTGCAGACACTTAAAATGATAACTTATCATTAGGATCATGGAACTAACAGGTCGAGATGTGTTTTTAATCGACAAATTGTCTGCGAGGCATGTACACATTCGTATTCAACAGCAAACAGTTGTTCGATAACATAACCTGCATGTTGAAAAATGTTAAATATAAGAAAAAGTAACAACGATGTATCTAATGAATGAACAAAATAGTTTTTCTAATATTAATGCTTAGAACTTGCAGAGTTCTAGAAAAATATAGAATGAAACTAAGTCCAATGCTAATAATATACGACAATTCGTTTGTGTGGATACAGCAAGAAGAGGAATTGACGAAGTTGTGTACCTGAGTGAAAACGGAAAGAAGAGAAAAGCGCTAGTCAGAAAATTTAGTGACAAATTACTTTTCAACAATACGATTAAATTAATTTTTGTATGGAAGTCTTTACTGCAATGCTGTTCCATTTAATGTTACCTGAATTTCAATCCTTGTGTGGGGTTGCTAGTCCTCTTACACTCCTACCCCCTACCATACAACCAGCCGAAGTACCGTATGAAGCAGTGGATAGTTTGCGCATCTTTTACCTTGTATAATACGACAAGCAAGGAAAAAGATAGTGATATTCCTAATTCTTGTCCGTATCTTTGTCCTCGTTCGTTGTTATATATAGATTTTGGAACCGAAATGAACCGGAACCGGAACCGAATTGGAAATTATTTTCTAAACCGGAACCGTAACGGAACCGAAATTTTAAATTTTGCTTTGGACCGCAACCAGAACGGAACAGTTATTTCGTTTCGGTCCGGGTCCTTGAAACCATTCTCATAGAAGACCGCAAATCGGGGGATTTTAGTTGGTAGAAATCCAACACTACCCAGTGTCACGGGACACTGAAAGTCTTCGAGAAGATTTTTATACTCCAGCCGCCGCCGGGAAAACAAAAAAAAATTAAACAGCTCCCTTGATTCAAATCGAAACTTTTGCCAATAGATAACGTAACGCTAAAGTCTGTTACGTGCAAACATTTTGCCGTAATTCTCTGAATTTATGTTAGACATCGGTATACGTGTTCAAGTTCTTGCCAAGCAAATACGCTTTGTTTTTTCATCATGGAGATAGAATTTGCTGTAATATCCGAAACCGAGAAAATTTGGCAATTCTTATCGCACTGAAAAGATTCTTAAGCAGATAGCGATGGATCACGTGTCCGTTACGGCCAATGAATTCGATGATTTTTGGATTTCTGCACCAACGGAAGATTGGTGGAGCGAAAAGAGTGTAGCAGGCGATTATTGGATGTCTGAGGAAGAGATGAAGCTAGACGATTCGATCGATTGGTCGATTTTGAGACTTTGTGCCGAGTGGCCAATTTTCAGAGTTTCTACCGCATGGTCGTTTTTTTTTTGAGTATTTCCTTTTAGTATCAAGATATACCTTGAGGACTGCATAGATTGCAAGGCATTTCACTGGAAAATAGTGTCCAAACAGCCCAGGTAGGGTTTGGGACACAAGAGCCGGATAAACGAATCTATGATGGACAATTCCACAAAACTAATTCTCTTGGGATTTTGGCGTTGGTACTGCTAATGATATTCGATGCTTGGTGTTGAGATTTTCTTTTGGTACAAGTTGTATGCTACTTCGAAGCATACTGGCGCCCAGATTTTGGTGATGACAATTATATACTTTTTACTTTCTTAATTTCCGGATTTTTCAATTCATCTTCTTTTAGTAAGTTTAAGAATCATCCTGTGCTGAGTAGTGTTAATTAGTTGACTATTTTATGCTGAAACACTCAGGTTCGACTGCCTTTTCTTTCAGTTTTTTTATTACTTTAATTTTGATTCAGAGTCGAGCCTGCGTAATTTCCGCTAATATTTTGGTACCCTTTACTGTGGATCTTTCATTCTATTTATATGTTTACGACCGTTACTCATTGGCCTTAAAACCTGCGAGGCTACTGATTGAAGTGATCTGAAAATTCACTTCTTACACTTGTAGGAAAATGATCTTTATTTACAAACAATGATATATTGAATACTGCCAGTTTTATATAAAAGTAGAAAATAATAGTAGTCAAAACTATGTAGTAAAGTATGTTGGAATCTCATTTGAATAACGTTAAAAAGACCATAGAAATGTTGAAACATGTCAAACGCAATCCAGAAAGGACCTCGAAACTAATCAATATTGAATTGAAATAAAATAAATTATTTTCTCAAGGAGTTATAACATTGTGGCACATTTTCAGGTTCCTCACAGGTTAGAGTTTTGTCGTCCAAAACTTTTCCTTCGCCACAGGTGATCAACCTGGGATGGCCGTTAACACAGGTTATGAGTCGGTGGCAGTCTCCAGGAACTGCGAATCTCGGATAAGGCCAGAAGCGGGCTGCTGGACTTCCAGATGGTACTTTGGTGGGGCACTTAAATCCGACGACGGCTTAAAGTAAATATTTCATTTAATTCAAATGCAAGCATATATTATATGTATATACATATAACGCAAGTTAAGTTTTTGCGATTAAATTGTGCAAATAAAATAATATGGAAATCTGAACAATTGGCGTTTTGAATCGTCGTAGGTCTGGATATATTGGAAAAAAAATCTAGACATACATTTCGTTCCTAAATGAGGTAAAAATGAAATTGCAAATAAATGGGTTACGATCGACATGTGTCCCTTACTATGGTGGCCTGCTCTGATAGCTCTATTGCCTTTTGAACATTTTCCTCTTTCACTCGAGAACAGTTGGAATTATTGCAGTACGCGTATATATTTGTTAAAAATCACAAAATTGTTAAATGACTACACAATCGGCCTCAAGCTTATTTAATTGCCTATTAGATGAAAATATAAAACCTCGCGTTGGCCTTCTCGTGTATTGGGAAAAAGCCATGCAAAATTACACAGGGACTCCAATAGTTTATTAAAAGGTGTTAAAATGTGTTATATTAGGTAACCATAATGCTCTCTAATGATCAAAGAGTTTAATAAATGCCTTATGGTCTCTGGTATGGAGTTGAACTCAATGAAGTGATACGTCTGGCTGAACACGTCCACGTGGTAGAGAGGGGGCAACAAGATTATGATGGTTAAGTACAGAAGGGTCTAAGCAAAAGAAGCAATAAACCTCATTTTAATTACTGGAGGGCCACTTTAAGTACTAACGGGGATAAATCACCCCTAAAGGTAGGGAACTACGAATGTGGTCAAAGGCATGAAGATCAGGAAGACCATGGAAAACCACCTGATAAGAAGATTTCGAGTCATCCCTCTTCAGCTGCATGAGTGAGTAGCTTTTCGAAGTTAAATAGTAAGCCCTGTGATTCGGCCTACTGCTGCATGTCCAGGGTAGGCAGTGTGAAATATGCTACTGGGCTAGGGATGACACAAACCAGTATTTTTCAGTCACAGGTTCCATGTCTAACTGTTCGTTCCAAGCTCGCACCTGTTCCAAGTATCTGATGTTTTGCACATGTTATTTTGGCCCATGGTAAATATTGGTTTGTACCTGAAACCGGGCTGAAGCGTATTTTGAGTCCAGTCGGAGTAGACTGTAAAAGGCCTGTTTCGGGCACTAAAAATATGATAATAAAATATTATTGGAAGTTATCAGACTATGAAGGCTTTCATGGCCGGTTAAATCACATTTAGGAATGTTTTCCGGGCTTTGAAGGCGTGGTCTATGGGAATTTCTTTCTGACGYTTCGTCCACAACTGCGGTGSMGCCCAGCCGTGTGTGCTCATGCGTGGGGGATGGGTGRGGGTTCCAACGCTTCGGCGCACAWGCTGTTTGGCGCATAACGCGCTTCCAATCTGGATTGAGTGCCAATGGCGCTCACAATRARATGATAAGGGCAATGCAACGGTGGTCATGTCTTCATTGAACTACRAAGACAAAATTAAAGAACTGTTGACCCCGTCAACGTACAACAAGTTGACACGGGATCCGACGGCACGGATACTAAGARCAACSAACAAATTAATTAAGGATATAACATTTCCATCCGAGAAGTTGGCAAAKCTCAAAAAATCAGAAGCACTCCCACCAAGGCTCTACAGACTGCCCAAGATCCATAAACCGGATGTACCACTGAGACCCATTGTGAGCGCCATTGGAAGTCCGACCT